CTGCGACCCCGACTCTCACCACACTGACTATCACAGGGACCCGGATGGGACTTCCAGGTTGGGTGGGACAGTCACTGGGGGAATCTGCAGTCATCCTTCATGTGGGAACCGTTTGCCATACATACTTCCAACGAAAAACAGCTTCTGGATTTCCCCACTGTAGTTTTTGAGTGTGTCGCCGTCAGAAAGCTGAGGTTACAGAGTTTTAAATACCCTCTGATGTTTGCAGAGGAGCAGGCTGCTTCTGAATCGCTCCCAGGGATTGGGAATTCTGGGAATTCCTCCCCCCGCCCCCCGCCCCCGGCGCGCCCCGAGTTTTAGGGTTCTTGATTGCCAGGGAACAAGGGCACCGTGGTGGGACCTATGATTCACATAATAATGGCAAAGGTAGTGGAGTCTCCCACGCCAGCCTGTGTGTAGGGCAGGTGGAGAAGAGAGAGAGAAGGGCGTCTACACTGCCCCCTAGCTGGAGGACCAGGAACACAGTCGAGGGGACTGGGGGAGCACTCAGGTTTACGTTGCTGGCCCTTCAAATGATTCCCGTTTTTAATTTTCAAAAGATACAAACACGAACGAAATAATGCAGGAAAAGAGGTTTCTCCTACCCACCGAGGCCTCATCAAACCCATTTCCTCCTAGAAGGCTTTAGTAAGGTAGCATTTAAAAAAAAAGTGCCAATTTTGCGTGGCGAATTGGCTTCTTTGGGGGAAAATTTTGACAGAAAGCGCCTTCCTTGGGGAAGGTCAGGAGTCACTGGTATTAAACCAGACAAGCTGGTAGAGGAGTGTTAATGGCCACAGCAAGCAGATGTTCTGTAATTAGGGGAGCTGTGACTGACAAGACTGGAGAGGTACCGTACACGGGCGGGCGGCACAAAGCAGCTGCCGCCGCCGCTTTCCCCTGTCACGGATGTACACAAGTCAGACCGACCCCCGTGAGGCTGCCGGAGTAGTGACAATTAAAAAAAAATTGTATTTGATTAAAATAAGTAATATATCACGTAATGTTCTGCTCCTCCTCCTGAAGAGAGAGGCCCAGGATGGACACTGGCGAAAGTGAGCCTGGGTCCAGTTCACCTCGGAAACGAGTAGGTGGTGCTGAGGTTGGTGTTCATCTGGTACTAAGAATGAGCTTTTTCTAAGAGGAAGGATGCAATCTTTTTATTGCATCCTCCAGTTTCTGCATCTAAGCAGGCTACAAGATTCTCTCTCTCTCTCTCTCTCTCTCTCTCTCTCTCTCTCTCTCTCTCTCTCTCTCTGTGTGTGTGTGTGTGTGTGTGTGTGTGTGTGTGTTTAGAGGTAGGTGTGGACTTCAGAGGTCAACCTCAAGTATTATTCCTTAGGGGCTGTTTCTTGTTTTGAGATAGGGTCTGTCACCAGGAGCTGGGGCTCCCTGATTCAGTTACACTAGTTGGCCAGAAAGCCCCACGAATCCTCTTGTCTCTACTGTCCCAGTATGCCTGGTGTTTCATGAAGGTTCTGGGAACAAATTCAGGTCCTGTTGCTGAACTGTCTTCCCGGCTCCCAAGACATGTCTCTTTGATCTCCTGAACATCAACCCCATTGCATTCCCCTCATTTCTTCTGGAATATTCCCAAGCCCCTCCTGGTTTTCTTACATCTAGGTGTCTTTCTGCCCTCATTCTTTTTTTCTTTTTCTTTTTTTCAAAACAGGGTTTCTCTGTGTAGCTTTGCGCCTTTCCTGGAACTCACTCTGTAGCCCAGGCTGGCCTCGAACTCACAGAGATCTGCCTGCCTCTGCCTCCCAAGTGCTGGTATTAAAGGCGTGCGCCTCCGCCGCCGCCACCGCCACCACCACCACCCGGCTCTTCACTCATTCTTGATACATCTTTCCGTCAGGATAGGTGGAGTCATTCTCCATATATTTCCAGAATCTGAATAGAATGCTTACTCCCTGATAGGCTTTTTCTGGGCTCTGACCCCAGCACAGCACCAGAGACTGAGGGAAGTCTTGGATCAGTGTGTGTGTGCTCCTGAGCATACATGCACCCATGCACAATGACTGCTCAATGCAATATGAATCACAAGCATCTATTGCAAAAATCACACACACACACACACACACACACACACACACACACACACACACACACACACACACACATCCAGACTTACAGAATTTCTTTGGTGGCCAAGAAGAGTTGGTGGCCTCTGTTTTCTAGAGGATCTCTGGTCACTTCATGAGGCATCATGAAATGGGGTGAAGCAGTTGGTCCCCAGCCAGCCAGTCAGCAGGATGCAGCCTGGCCTGGTAGATTTGAGGCCAGAAGGGAGGCTTGGAGGACTCCAGCCTCCTTGAAGCCTGATTTCCTTACTGAGGGGTGGGAATGGTATCACTAGACTCTTGGTAGTATCATGAGGCTGAGAAGAGGGATCATAGGGTTTGGTCACATTATTGTTCTGGCTGTGTTAGTTCCTGTTTTTCAAATGAGATCAGGGACTTTACCACCCATGAGTCATTTGGCAGGGGGTATTTAGTTGCTAGGTGACCTGGGGTCTAGCAGGGACTGCTTATATTGTGTTCATGATTGGGAGGAAGCTGAGGAGAGAACATCCTCAATGTCCCCTGAGTGCTGCTTGTACCTCAAATCTTCTTGAGCACCCTGTCTTCTACTATTTTGGGGGTAGATCTTACAAGCCCTGTGAGCCCAGAGATGCCAAGCAAGTCACCCGGGCCACCTAGCCAGACTTGGGGCTGGAAAGTGAGTCCCAGGCTTCCTGATGCCAGATCCTACGCTCCTGGTACATGATGCTTGTGGGGCCTCTGTGCAAAGTCTGTCCTGTCCTCGTCCTTCAGTGTGAAGCTGAGATGCCACTGGCTGTCCTGAGAGATGGAAATAATAGCTCCCTGGAACACATTCCCAAACAAAGGAAGAGCCAGAAGCCTGACCCATGAGCCCCACGGTCTTTGTCTCTCTTCCCCCTTGCTCACCAGCTCCTCCAGATCTCCTACCTGGCTTTCCTGACTGCTCCCTCAGCTCCTCTCCAGTCCCTTGCTGCCTCTTTATCTGTCTCTCCACCTTTCTCCCTTGATTTCTAATTTCCAAGCCTGCGAGCTATTACAGGGAGCATAATGACGGTTGCACTTGTCTTAAGCGATGCTGCGGCTGAACTCATTGCTGCGTGGAGTGCTCCGGGAGTCTTGAAAACGAAAGGTGTTATGTAAAAATGAAAATCGATTCTAATTCTAAACAAACACCATCACTTGAGTTTCCCTTGGCTCTCAGTGTTTCATGCTCAAGAAGGGCAGCGGGGCATCTTCTTTGACGCTGTGTGCTTAGAGCAGAGATTTGGGTGTCCCGGCATCGTGAGGCTTGTCATGACAGGGATGAGGTCTGAATCACATCTCAATATAGCCTCACAGTCACATTTAATTGCACCTGGTGAAATGTGTCTTTGTTCATTATTTATGAAGGGAAACAATTTTCATCCGGGGTGGGGGGAACTGACATTCCGTTGAGGTGGAGTGATTGGGAAGGGCCGTTAGTTCCCAAGTCTTCCTCTCAGCGGCTATCACCCAGCATCACGAGAAAGTTTGTCAGCCGAGCAAGCATCCCCCACCCCTTTCAGAAAGAAAGACTCTCCTCCTTCGCACTGGTGTAATTTATAAGGACATGCCCGCTACAAAAATGGAAGTTTGAATCATTCCTGTGGAAGAACTCATCTTTCCAAATCAGAAATGTCATAAACGTTAAAATGCCATGAGTGTTTCCCCAAGAAAGGAATAATTTTCTTTTCACTGAGAACACTGGAGGACATAATATACTTCTTGAAATTCAAAATTTCATAGCAAATGCAATTTATCCCTCCTTCGGATCGTTCATCTTCCTTTAAGAAAAGGTAACTGGGTGTTATATGGATTTTATATTTTTTTTTCACAAAATTATCTTCCAAGCACTTGTTTCCTTAAAAACACACCTGGCATGCAGGGAAAAATGAACGGTTTCATCTTTGGGCGTGTGCCCTGGAAACTTCCAGCACCAGGAAGGACGGGAGAGCTGGCTTGGGCTTCCTGTGATAACTCAATCAGACATACATTTGCTTCCGTGGAAAGATCTGGAGTACCTGTGGGACTCCTGTCTTCCACTAATTTTTCTCTTTCCCTTCTTTCAACTTCATGTCTGTTTAAGGACCCAGAAGTGTCTGTCTGTAGTTAGGGCCTTGCAATCACTCTGAAGATGGACAGCCGCCTTCAAGAGAAGGTGCTGGAATCTGAACCAAGTGATCACTCTGCGCTCCCAGAATAGGTCCTATGCTAAGAGCTGAGATGCACCCCATCTTTCTCCTGGGGAGGGGACTCATTAATGAGCACCTGCTGTATGCTTGGATGCTGTCCCACTCTGCTCTGAAGGCACATCGCATATAAGTGAGGAAGCTGAGGCTTGAAGAGTGACAGGTTGTAAGTGGAAAAGCAAGGTTCTGCCCCAGGCTCGCCCAAGTCCAAGCGTTATATATTCTCCTGAATGCTTGGGGGGGAAATGACTTTAACAAGAAGAAAGAAAAAAAAAACAACCCGGGTTTTTATTGTTTTTTTCTTGTTATATTTACTATGTGCTTATCACAGAAATTTTGGGGAAATTCATCATGATATGAAGAAAACAAAATAAAAACATCCACGACTATCCGAGACAGATTGCCGTTATTCCACCACTGTTTCCTCCCTGTGTGAACAGCCAGGGAGTCGTCTGCAGGACCCTCCCTCTGAAGCCTCCTTCGTATTTTATGAACTATTAACCAGTATGTCTAATTCACTCCCATTGGATGCTGTTCTCTGTGCTGTATGGAAACTATTTCATGTAGTTCTGTGAAATCTACTCCTTTGTCTTTCCCATTTTCAGGCCAGGAAACAGACGCAGGGAGGGCAGAATTTGTTCCCTGCAGTGACCAGAGGACATCCAGGAGACACAGACAGCCATTGGCCCTGGTGTCACTGCTCCCAGGGTCTATGCACTGTCACTTGCCTGATGCTGCCTGGAACGTTTCTTGAAATGGTAAATAATCCCAGGATCCGAATCACAGTCTATCCTCACCTTGGTGTGCCAGAGTTTCCCAACATTCCTCGCTGCTGACTATTGGGGCTCTTTCCATTTTCTAGCTATTACTAAACGATGCTGGAAAGAACATTTTTGTGTCTGTCACGGACATTCTAAATGAACATTTCCAAGAAATGTGATTATGAGTCAAATAGCACTTTAAAAACCATTGTTCCAAAGATAAAATACCTTGCATATCATGAGCCTGCAAACCCTGAGACTGAAAGGCATCTTCTGGCCACTCTGTTCCTCTTGCTCCTCACAGGCTCAGGGGTGCAAGATGGCTCACCTTAGGACACCAAGGTAGCCTGTGAATTCTGACTCATGCTTTACCTTGTGCTTGGGGCCTGCCCTGACACACTGTTTATTCCTCTGCCATCTGACATGATAGAAATAGACTTAGTCAAAGAGCCCCTCCTGTATGGCTGTGAGTTCTGGGCACTCTCCACCTCCACATCTGAGCAGCTGAATGTCACTTGCAGACATGGAGGCTAGTGTCCCTTGCCTGGCTTTGGCTGTCATTATCACAATGATCTGGAAGTTTGGTTTGGAGTATGGCATGTAGCGATTTCTACTGAGATTTGATGGACCTCTGTCAGGTGGTTGTGGCTTCTTAACAGAACCCAGACATCACTTTATGCTTCCCCTTCCTTCTCCTCACTCTTCATTCTGTGGGGGACAGTAGGCTACATCTGAAACACTCACATATTCCCAATGACTGTGAATCAGGGCAGCCAAGGGACTTCTTGTCTCTCCCAGCCTTCCCTGCATCTGGCACCCCATGGCCACTGACACTCTAGAAGAGGTCCTGTTCATGTACATTCTCTGTCCTCTCTCTAGCCAGCTTACCTACCACTTCCAGGACCTCCTGGTGCCACCCCCTCGTCGTGGTCCTCCCCACCCCAGACCCAAGCATCAGGCCTCCCCTCTTGCTTCTACTGATGGAACATCTTTTCTTCTTGTAATATGAAAGCAAAGCATGTTGGGTTAGCACTTTCTGGGTGTCAACAGTGGGGTCAGAAACTGCTGAACCCCAGAAATGAAGAATTGAGAACAATAAAGATCCACCCATAAGAAGCTCTTACTAAAGGACGAGATAGAAAACAGACATTCTCTGGGCTGTGGAGACAACAGCCTGTCAGCAAATGCCTTCTCTGCAAGCAAGGGGCCCTGAGTCTCTGAGCGTCAACAAGCAAATGAACAAAATTGAGTTTAGTGGCATGCACTTGTGAGTCCAGTCAGTGCTGGGGAGGCAGAGGCAGGAGGATCCCTGGAACTCATTGGCGAGCAAGTCTAACCTAGTTGGTGTGCTTGAGGCCAATGAGAGACTCTGCCTTAAAATAAGCAAACTAAATGATGTAGAGAGACTTAGGCATACACACAAGGCTGACCTCCGTATGCACGCGCGCACATACACACACACACACACACACACACACACACACACACACACACACACACACACACAGTGAGTGTAGCCGACCGGGTGGAAGTTCTTTGGAGTCCTAAAGAAGAGGCATCACTCAGCCACTGTGCCAGGATCCATTTTCCCCACTCCTTCATCTGTGTCATTTATTAATTGATACATCCACTCAGACTTCCGGTACTAATTACTGAACATCTAATGAGGTGCCAGGTATTTGCCTAGAAGTAGAATCAGAAATGGGGCTGTTGGGCAGCCCCCTGACTGCATTGATTTATTTTTGGCATGGCACTGTAGTGCTCCCCTAAAATAAACCAGGGAGGAGCTCAAGGTTCCGGTGTTGTGTCTGGAAGGTGGAGTGGAGTCGGCTACTCAGTGTGGTGGAAGTACATTAATCAAATAGTCTGCTTAATAGAGAGTTCTCAGATATGCCACGTGTGAATTGCCAGTTTTCAAAGAATTATAATGCAGCAAAATATAGGAACCACACAGCTCATAATTTAACCTGCATTAGATGTGACAGAAGCACCTGAAGGGCTGTGGTTAAGAACCAGAAGCATTTGGTGTGACATTGTGACATTTGGAATGTCACACCTATGGAGAAATGGCTTTCTCTTGGCTCTGACTGACCCACAGATTTTGCAAACAGAAAACTCAGACCCTGGAGAAAACAAAAACAGACATGCTTTAACCCAGCCTGCAGCACAGAGAGCTGGACGGATGCCTCAGGATCCAGGCAGAGTGCAGGCAAGATCGGGGGGTGAGCCTCAGACACACAGGCCCACTATGTGTGTCTAGAGCGTGTCTGGGGGGAGGTGTCTTCAGAGGGTGGGACAGACGCAGCGAAGGTCATTTTGTAATACCCAAAGATTCATCTATTCATTCTTTTCTCATCTCCCCACCTTCCCCTCCCCTTCCTATCTTTCTTCCGTTGTCTCCTCCCCCTACTCCTCTTCTTTTTTCCCTCCCCGTCCTTCCCTCCCTCCCTCCCTCCCTCCCTCCCTCCCTCCCTCCTCCTTTCTATAAATGTCTTTGTCAGTTTTATTGTAGTGGACTTTGGCTATGGCTGTTTCTCTGCTCACTCTGTCTCTCTCTCCTTCTCTCTGTCTCCCTCCACTCCCTCTCTTCTCCTCTTTCTTTCTATAGACTGTGACCCGCCCCCTCCGGAGATTGCAGTTAAACAGAAATGCTTTGCAAGGACTAGCTGTCACAACTCTAGGACCTCAAGATCTTAAGACCTGGCGACACAGACAGAGATGGCGTGGTCCTGTGCCTTGGCTTCAGTTCCCAGTGGGGTTCCATTGACAGTTGGCTTCCTACGCCACAGGAGTTTGGAAACCTTATCAGAGAGGTTACACGGTCCCCCAGTCAACCCCCTGATAAGTCCTGCAGACGGTTTCTACTGACCTTACCTCAAGTGCCTCTCCCAGCCCCTGGCTTCCCCCTGACGCACAGTGAGGGCTCAGCACCCATAGACTGCTGGCTTGAAACAACTGGCATGCTGTCTCCTGATTGGGTGGCTTATAAGCTGCGGGGCATACTTGGATGTTTAGTCTCCATGCCCACCCCGGCTGGCTCCTGGGAGGATGATGTGGGCAGCTGAAAGTCGAGAGTTGGGTCTTGTCCCTGGGTTGGAGCCATGTGCAGTGGCTGTCTCCGTGAGCGGCAGATGTCTCTCAGTATGGTTGCACACTTCGGCCTGTGACACAGACTGGCCTTTCATTCCTGAGACCTTTCTGACCCTGGGATATGACCTGGACACCTTCTCTGGGGTTAGAGAAGTCAGCTGGAGATAAGCATGGATTTCTTACTTTGTACCCTTTCTCCCTCCTCCCAGCATTCTTAGCTGCAAGCTTCTGAGTGTCTCCCACAGTGTTTTGAGGAGATCTGCAATGTTCTTCTTGCGCAGGTGAGATGGGAACTTGCTTTTCCTCGCTGGATCAGTCATTTGCCATGGGGACCTGAAAACAGATGCTAAAGAAGGCAGGTGTTCCCCGAGCTAGGTAGAGACATACCTATGAATTCCCCAGAGGGAAAGTGCTGAGCCAGAGGGTACCACTCCAAGAGGGACCGGCTTGGGATGAAAGGCATTTTGGAGTATTTGTTGAAACCATGAATGAACAGAAGAATAGGTGACTGAAAATAGTCTTTCTTCATTTTTCTTCATTTCTTTTAGATATTGTCACCCTGACTCTGTGTAACAAACTATGTCCAAAACATAGTGGCCCGTCAGCATGCCCTACATTTGTGCCTTTCTCCTACAACCCATCTCTCTCCATTCTATGGATGGAAATTATGGTCCCCTGGATGCGAGGTGAGTCCTTTACCACTGAACTGTGTCTCCAGCCCTCTTCATACTTTTTTTTTTTTGGTTTTTCGAGACAGGGTTTCTCTGTGTAGCTTTGTGCCTTTCCTGGATCTCACTTTGTAGACCAGGCTGGCCTCGAACTCACAGAGATCCGCCTGGCTCTGCCTCCCGAGTGCTGGGATTAAAGGCGTGCGCCACCACCGCCCGGCTCCTCTTCATACTTTTATTGTTCCTTAGTCTGTGGATCTTAGCCAGAGGCTGGGACCCCTTTACTAGGCTTTTGGTAGCTCTGGTCAGGCCTGGCTGGAGGCTCCCAGTGTGCTTGGGTCTGGGCCATGGGCCTGCCAGCCTCTTTTTTTATCAGTAGCCCAGGAACGTTTTGTAATGGTACTCAAACATCAAACCAGCAACACCGCCCCTCTGAAGCCGATGTTCAAGATTTATCTCCCAAGAGTCCACTGGCCAAAGCAGATTATGCTGCCAAGCCCGAAGTCAGCAGGGTGGGGTATGTCTCCACCCACACTGGGGTCAGGGAAAGAAGAGAAGCTCCATGCAGAGCAATAATGTGATCTCAGCATAAAGTTCTCCCAGCATGTATTTCTTTAAAGTTGGCCCAGGAAGGTCTACAACACAGATTCTGAGCTTCTTCATGGCCAAAGGAGGGGAAAAAAGTCATCTGGATGTCAGAGCCCCAGTGACCTTAAGAGATAAATAAAGTAGCTACAAGCACTCCTGTCTTTGGAAGGCTCTAGGAAAGCTCAGGCACCAGCCATCATCTCATTCCCTCACTGGCATCATGTTCTGAAGAGGGATGTGAGTGGTCCGAGGCAGGATGCAGGTGGCATGCTCACCTCTCTACCCCCTTGGGCTGCCAACTTCTCTGTGGCTGCTTCAAAGAGGACAGGCTTTTGGCTTGTCCTCCAGTCTTCTGTACTGACCAGGGCATCAGGACAAATTTTCAAAGCTCGTGCTTTGATCATGTGGTTTGAGGAAGGCTGTTTTCTGTCTCAGTAAATGCGGGCTAGCCTGGGCTACAAAGTGAAACACAGTAGAAAGAGAGAGGGGGAGGAAGGAAGAAATAAAAAGGAAGGAAGGAAGAAGGAAGAGGGAAGACAGAAGGAAGAGGGAAGACAGAAGGAAGAGGGAAGACAGAAGGAAGAGGGAAGACAGAAGGAAGAGGGAAGACAGAAGGAAGAGGGAACACGGAAGGAAAAGAAAGGAAGAAGGAGGAAGAAAGAAGGAGGAAGGAGGAAGGAAGGAGGAAGGAGGGAGGAAGAGAGAAAATTCAGGACATTCCAGTTCTTGGCAATAAGAAAATGGATGCCTTTTGGGGAGGGAGAGTTGTTTGTCTTTAAGACTGTAGCCCCCGGTGTGTGAACCACAGTCCAGGGCAAGGCCACACACCTGAGAGTCCCAGGGCAGCACAGGTTGGACTTGACAGGTTTGTGTTGTTGTTTTGTTTGTTTGATTTTTTTTTTTTAAGAAGAGGGCCCAGTGCTAGATAGGTAGGGAAGTGGGGAGGGTGGGTAGATATGTGAGGATTTGAGGGAGCAGGTGAATCTGGTCAAATACAGTGGGAAGGGGTTAGATCTGTGAGGAGTTGATAGAGGGGGTGGATCTGATCAAATACATTGTACAGGATTCTTGAAGGACTAATAAAAGATTAAAATTAAAATGGGAAACAAATTCTGTGTTTCTCCATGGTGCCCTCCTTCTCTGCTCTTTCCTGACCTCCTCTCCTCCTCTTGCCCCTCCTTCCCTCCTTCCTTCCTTCCCGAATCACTCTGTCTGCCTCTTTCTTTTCTTAGAAACTAATTCTTTTTCCATTGTGTGGAATGTTCTGGGAGGCTTTACTACATAGATTACATGAGTATCTTGGTCTGATGGTTCACAGGGAAAGGGGGACCCGTCTAACATGTCAGTTGTACGCGAAGCTTCCTCGTGGTTTCCTGTTTCCTCCAGCTACCTCGCCTGCCATCCCACTCTGGTCCTCTCTGGATCCAAGTGTATCTTTCCACATCCGCGGCCCTGCCGTTCATCTCCCTACCCAGCGGGAACCAGAAATAAACCCCGATGCATTTCAAATGTGAGACAGAGAAAGGAAATGGAGAGAATGCTGTCGGCGCTGGCTTCCATTGCCTGACAAATATAGCGTGGTGACTTGAATTCCGTAAGAATTAAGCTCTGGTCTCTTGAAATGCATGCAAATTCTTGCAGAATATATATGAAGAAGTCGCTCTAACTGTGGAGGCACTTCGGCTCCCTTGATAAATGGGGCTTCCAGACCACACTTTATTGAGTCTCTGATTTTTAATAATTTGAATCCTGCAAGATTTAATTCTGCATAATTCTGGCTGAAATCAGCTTTTGATTGAGTTGTAATGGCTCTGTTATTGTAAATATCTCCGCATGCTAATGCCGCACTGGAATTCAATAATATTTAGATGAAATTTTTCGCCTCCAGCGTTATGGGAGCAAGGTTTGGAAATCAGGAAGTTTATGTCACAGTGACATCTATTTTGGGGAACCTGCAACATTTTTAAATGCAATAAACGGTCATCCCAAGACAAGATTTAAATAATTATGAATCTTAAATATATATGTGTGGATCAATTATAATATGTAGAATATTATAGTATGAATAAAATATATGAAAAGTCTTAAAATATATGTCTTTATTTAACCTTGCAGTATTTTCTAAAATAGACCCAGTAGTGCGGTGGAGGAGGGGTGAGATGCTGAGCCGGGAAAGGCAGGGAGGGCCCATCTGCATCAACACCATTGTTGGGATTGGCAAACAAATTGTATCTTTGAGAGACTTGTTTAAATCCTGAGACTTAGCATCACTCGCTGTACAATCAAATGAGGCAAAGATGCTAGAGTGATTTCATCACATAGCTCAACTTGACCAGTGATGTCACGTTTTGCCACCTAACCGCAGTACAGTGCCTCTGCTGTGTGTGTCTCTAGGTGTTCTTTGAATTAAACTGAAGGTTGTGTTTGTGCGAGTGTGGAGTCCTCCTTTGACGATCACGCTTTGCTTCGCTTTGTTTTTGAGGCAAGGTCTCTCTCAGAATGTAGAACCTCCTCTTTTTACTATGGCTGCTGTCCAGCAGGCTCTGGGGATCTGCCTGTCTCTGCTACAGCAGCAGGGGTTACAGATGTGAGTTTTTAGGGTTTTATATGGGTGCTGGGGAGCTGAGCTCAGGTCTCCATGTTCCCACAGTGAGCAAGTTACCCACCGGATCCTCTGCCCAGCCTCTAAATGGAAGGTTTTGATGGAGAAACACATCTTTAGGCCTCGTGACTTCTGGGGAGAGGGAACATTACTATGCCCCTTTTCTAGGAGAGGGACTGGAAGAACAGATGCATGGCTGGAGACCCCATAGCTCCCAAGTAAGTGGAGAAACTGGGGTTGAACCCTGGTATCTGAGGCTCCAGAACCTGTGCTTCTAACTCCATGGTGCATGAAAAGCGAACACTGGTTCTTCGTCATGTCCTTGCCATGAGGTGGATTTTAACTCTATGCCTTCAAGCTGTTTCTGAAAGAGTCCCCAGGAGGTTGCAGTGAGGGCTTGCTGAGCACTGAGAACAATGTTATCAGAGGCTGGAGGACATCTGAACAGACCGACTGTGCATGGAGAACCAGATGCGATGGCTCATGTCTTTAATCCCATCACTTGGGGGTTTGAAGAAGGAACATCAAGAGTTCAAGGTCAGCCCTTGAACTACATAGTGGGATCTTGCCTCAAAAATAAACAAGCCAACAAGGGACATGTTGATGTTGGAAAGAGGGAACACAGGAGGGAGGGGCCCTGAAGAAGGGGATACCTGCTGGCAGATGTTGAAGGTACCAACTTGCTTTTTCTGGTAGATTATAATACAAGGGAGATGAACTGAAGAAAAATGTTCAGAACTTTTATTTTTCATACTAGAGGAAACATGAAGAACTTGGGACAATTTTTTTTTAATATCCAACAAAACAATTTCAAAGCAAGAAACAATCCGAGGGCAAAGACATACAGTCTCCCTGAAAAGCCTAGTTTCCAGACAGACTTTAAGGCTCCAAGACCCTTCTATATTTTATTTGCAAGTGGAGTGGGAGCTTATTTTACAGAGTATTTGGCTTAGGTATTAGGCATAGGGATTAACAGAAGAGAGGCATTCAGGGAAGGAATACATCATACCTAGCGGTGGGTGTGGCTTTCTCAAGGGAGAGTCTCAACTAAGTTTCTGTACAATGTGTATGTTTTGTAGAATTTGGGTGGCTCTCAAGTTATATCTCCAAAGGTTGCTAAGAAACCTACCCCTCCTCTCTGTCACCAGTGCTCCGATGTAGTCTCTGAAAAGGTTAAAAGTTAATGGATTTTCTTCTGTAAATAAAAAGTTATAAGGTGGCCCCCCCTTCATGTTGGAAAGTCAACAATATTGTCACTGTGCCCAGTAAGATCGCTAAATACACCATGCCACAGCCCCTTCCACCCATCCAAAAGGCTTTCAAGGATTGGTATCAGTGTCCTGGAAGAGCTTGCTCTCAGCCCAGTGTAGAGTCTCTCAGGAAGAAGTGGGAGCCTGTTTTTTTATAGAGTGGTCCCAACCTCTGAGATTCCCAGAAAGCCCATGGCATTTTAAAGAGAGTATCAGCAGAAGCTCTGTCATCTTTGACAGACAGGGATGAGACATCACAGAATGTTAGGCACCTTTGGACAGCTGTCTTTAGTCTATCTACCCTGGGCAGTAAGTATGTAAGAGTTAAGTAGCCTATGTGGATGCAGATGATGGCTATTTCTTATGGAGAATGAAGAATGTTTTATAGAGGGGATCTAAGCACTTCAAAGTCCCAGTTCTACGGAGCTTCAGTGGGCTCTAGTCAAGGTATTGGAAATACAGAAAGCTGGGTTCGGGAATGGCCCCTGCCCAGCCCCTGCCAGGGGATCCTGTCTCATCCCTTTGGGGGTAGGTATACCATTTGTAGGGTCCCCGTTTTTGTCTCAGCACACAGGTTGGGTGAGAGAAGGACAATTGCCATCTGGCTGAAGTGGGGGGGCAGGAGACAGCACCCAAGGAGGCTCATCTGAACTTGAACTTGACCTAGATAATGAAATATCAGACTTCAAACCTGGAGTGAGGCTTCAGAGGTCCTGGGAAATGGGGAATTTGTTCGTCTTCTGTTACAGATAGAACCAAAGAGTACACCATTGTTCTTTACAGATAACTATGAATTATTTGATAACTCTCGCATTAAAAGCAGGAACTGTTTTCCCTTTGCTTGAATCCAGAGTAGACTGTGGATGACAATATGGCTGACTGGAGGTGACCCAGCTCCCAGGCTTTCCTCTGACTGGACTGGTGACTTCCATCTGCATGTCTTGGAAGCCTGAACTTCCATGTAGAAAGTCCGATGATCCCCCAGTAAAGGCCTCAAGAAAGGGCTCTAAGACAGGAGGAGGAGGGTCTGGCAATGCCTGAACACACCATCTACATAGAACCCCATGCTAGACCAGATTCTCACCAAACATCATCTCCAACCCCAGTCAAAGTCCCATGGACAAGAGAATAACCATCCAGGTTCTGTCTGAATCGGTAACCCACAGAGAACAGTGTAATAAGAGGGCCATCGGTTGGTTATATGGTAACTGATAATGGGAGCTACCATCACCTCTCCTGTTTTAGTGGAAGTCATTGTCACCACCAGGATGATGGTGATCATGGAGCTAATATTACTATTAACAGCATCTCTTAGCTCCAGAGGAGTTCCTGCTGCTGTATATGGTGATTACATCGCAGCCACAGCTTACACCCTGGCCATGGAGGTTGGAGACGAGGCTAGCAGAGAGCCTTGCATGAAACTTGAGGGAAACACCATTCTCATCTCGTCAGAACATTCATTCATTCATTCATTCATTCTGGAAGTGTGCACCTTCTTAAGTGAAGCGTATGATAGCATTCATTTATTATAATCTGTTTTGGTTGTAGTTGTTTAGTTTATAAAGGCAATATTTCATGTAGCCTTGAGTGGCCTTGAACTGACTGACTGTGTGGCTGGGGATTACCCCGAACTCCTCATCTTCCTGCCTCAGCTTCCTAAGTGCTGGGATTGCAAGTGTGTACCACATCACCTTATTATAAGCATGTCTGTATTTTATTAGCTCATTTATTTGTCTGTGTGTGGTGTATGCATGTGTGGATAGAGATATCCTCCCTCTCTCTCTTGTGTGTGTGTGTGCATGTGTGTTGTATGTAGGTATGTGCATATGCATGTAAGGCTTGGATCAAGTCAGATGTTGCTCCTTAGACACTATCCACCTCCTTCTGTTTTAAATACAGATTATCTCATTGGATCCTGGGGATGTTCGGCTAGCTGGTTGGTGAGCCCCAGGGACCCTGCAGAAGAGTGGCACCTTTCAAACAGTTGTTTGTCACCTTCTGGTCACAGTAACAGAAATTAGTGAAAGCCGAGGACTTTGAACGTCAACTTCAGTTCAAGCTTTTGCTGAGGATATCGAGACCTCTGTGGGCTGAAGTTGTCATTGCCCTTTGGCCTGTGGCCCCTGTTTTCAGCCTTGACTCCCTTAGTTATCTTAATTAATGTAGAGAATGTCCCCAGGAACGTGTGCTTCAAGATATATGACTGAATCATTTTATAAATCTCTTTTCCACTCGAGAGGTAGAGAAAGTTCAGGTTTTCCCAAAGCCTTGGTATTGCCAAAATCTCTCATCCAAGAACATGTGGAGATACTGAGAATTTGGTTCCACTTTGCTTCCTTTCCATCACTGTATGTAGTCAAGCAGGGGTTTACCAACACACACTTTCCAAACCAGGGCGAGAGCATGAGACTCACAGGAAATAGACCCGGAATACTCAATTTGATGAGGTCACAGAGAGGTAAAGAGGATTTCTCACACCCAGACCATACGCTCGGGGAGAGCCTGAGGCCTTAGGCTCCCAGGTGCCTTGTCGGGGTTACATTATAACATCTGGGTCTAAGTAGTTCCAGGGACCCAGCCTTCAGCTCCTGCCGCACCGTTAGCAAACCTTGTCTATAAGCACACACATGGTAAACCTATGAAGTTTGAATGGCACAGAATTTGTCATGACAACTCAATTCTGTTGATTGGCAGGAGAGCAGGCATGGAAGAATGGGAGGAAGTATGGCTGTGCCAATGCCCAGTGCGTTTTCTCCTGGCTCCCACTATCTCTAGCACTGTCACACCAGTTTCAGGTGCCCATTTTCTTCTAACTCGGCACCGCTATTGCTTGTAAGTGACGGGGACTCTGTGGAGTCATGTGTGAACGCTGGTCTTGCCTCCTGTCCTTGAACTGGGAGTGAGGTCCTTAATCTAGGTAGGGTCCACAGTTTGCTATGTGCTTGTCAAAGGGCTGTTATCAGGAGCCTCTGAGGTAAGCTTCACACACTGATCTCCATGGGCTCATGCAATGAGGCAGCTTTGATTGCTACCCTAGGTACACACACACACACACACACACACACACACACACACACACACACACCATGACTCCTCCTCCCACCTCATAATTGTAGATGGGATGAGTAAGACCCATCCTCATGGAATGGTAATGGTTTATGAAGCAATGTGAC